GATCTCAACATTTTTCTTTTTTATGTTCCCTCAACTTCAGATGCCAATAAGGGAAGCTTGTCATGTAGCTCTCCAAAGAAACCATCCCGGAAAACATAGACTGTGGAAACATGCGCAAGCCCGACAGCAAGCTAAGGGACAAGTAGCAACACCAGTTCTCCAAATTGTAAGTAAGAGCATTTGAATGTGGACATCACGGACTTGCTTATACAATAACTGCATTGTCCTAGCCTAAGGCTTTGCTTTATGGTCCTGCTGAGACTTTCTTGCATATTTGTGTTTTAGGTATCATATGGGTCTGAGATCAGCAATCGTGCCCCTACCTTTGACATGGATTTGTCTGATTTCATGGATGGAGATGAACCAATTTCTTATGAAAAAGCGAGGAAGTTCTTTGCTCAGGATCCTGCACAGAAGTAAGTCTTTCCTCTGTTACTTGAATTACTTCTTTAATTTTCTCTGCTAACAAAGTAATAATATCTTCCAGGTGGGCAGCATATGTTGCTGGGACAATCTTGGTATTGATGACAGAACTTGGCGTCCGTTTTGAGGATAGCCTCAGCTTGCTGGTGTGTTGTTTTTCCCCATCCTTTTAGAATTTTTATTCTCTGCTGCAGAATCCGTCCTGGTCTGTATTTGTTTCTTTGACTTTTTTTAATTTTGCATTTACAATCTGTTGGTAAATAGTTTTTTTCCCTTGTTCTAATGCGTTTAGTTTAGTTTAACAGTTTTATGGGTGAAGTTATGGAAATGGTAGAGAATTTGTTCAAGAGTTAGAATAGCCAATAGTAGGATAAGAAGGTAGCAGTCATGGGTTTGACATCCCCTTAAGAGAGCCACATTTGTAAATTTCAGTTATAACTTTGGCAAACTTTGATCCTTCCGGCACTAGTCCAATTCTATTTTGAGTTTCCTAAAAGGCCTCACACTTGTGCCCATTAAATTAGTTTTTCGTGTTATGCAAATATAATAAACGTTAGAGCTAAAAGACTGATTATTTGTTTTCTTAGGTTTCTTCTGCTGTGCCTGAAGGTAAAGGTGTATCTTCATCTGCTGCTGTGGAGGTGGCGAGTATGTCTGCAATAGCTGCTGCGCATGGTAACTCTCTTTAAGATATTGTCATAAATGAGAGTCATATGGTCTTGAACGTTGGTGAAAAAGGCATCATTTGAGATAGCTAAGTATACCAAATATTAACACGGAAATTTTAATGATACCGATCTTAGTTTTGCCTATTCCAACAATTGTTTGGTCACATGTGCAGGACTGACTATCAGCCCTCGGGATCTTGCTATACTCTGCCAAAAGGTTTCATATTCAGCAATATATTAACTCCTTTCCCGACTTTGGGCAATGTTTCCTTTTCTAATTTTCTTTCGTTGCCTGCTAGGTGGAGAATCACATTGTTGGAGCTCCATGTGGTGTTATGGATCAGATGACTTCATCCTGTGGAGAAGCCAACAAACTGTTGGCCATGATCTGCCAAGTAGGTCTTAGAAATACATAAGCTATGAGTAAAAAATCACCATGCTTTGTAGCACATATGATATCTCCTTTTCCTTCTGCCAAGTAAGTTTTAGTTGATATTTACCTACTCCTTTTGTTCCTAACTCTTTAAATAAAACATGTAGCCTGCAGAAGTACTTGGGCTTGTTGAGATTCCCAACCATGTCAGATTTTGGGGAATCGACTCTGGAATTCGACACAGGTAGATGGTCTTTCTCTGTCAATGTATTTTCTGTTCTCCCCTCAGTTGCTATTCCTATAAGGCCTCTTAATACACGCTAAATTATATAATATCATTGCTGGACGCACTTTATCTGCAGTGTTGGAGGTGCAGACTATGGGTCAGTTAGAGTTGGTGCCTACATGGGGAGAAAGATGATAAAGTCAATGGCGTCTTCGATTCTGTCTCAATCAGTCTCGACTGGCAATGGAGGCAACCCGGAAGAACTAGAGGATGAAGGGATTGAGCTACTTGAGACCGAAGCTTCACTAGATTACTTGTGCAATTTGTCGCCTCACAGGTGTGAACACAAGTGGTGGAAACTATCCTATGTTCTCAACTTGCAAAGATTTAGAATCGTTTCGTAATTCACACACCTTTTGGCAATGCTCAAAACTCTGGTTATGTTGCAGATATGAAGCCCGTTATGCAGATAAGCTGCCAGATTTCATGCTGGGTCAGAAATTCATTGAGGAATACTCGGATCATGACGATCCTGTCACAGTGATTGATCAAAAACGCTCGTACAGTGTTAAAGCTCCTGCCAGACACCCTATATACGAAAACTTCCGGGTCAAGGTCCGTCTTTTTAATATTTAAGAGTATATATATGTAACAATTACAAAATATTCTTCTCATCTTCTGCTTTTTAATCCTTTTCTGGCTGTTTCATATCACGTGTAGACTTTTAAAGCACTTTTGACTTCTGCAACATCAGATGAGCAACTCACTGCTCTTGGAGGACTTCTATATCAGGTATTTACATCACAAACTACTGGATTTAATGTGTAAAGAAAACAAGACCGAGAGTTACAGATTGAGTTATATGGATAAGGGTTTGACATATTGATGCTTTTTGTTTTTTATCCGTGTTTGGTCAGTGTCACTATAGCTACAGCGCGTGCGGACTAGGATCGGACGGAACAAACAGGCTTGTCCAGTTAGTACAAGGAATGCAGCATAACAAGTCTAAAACTGAGGATGGAACTTTATATGGAGCCAAAATCACAGGCGGTGGTTCTGGTGGAACAGTCTGCGTCATAGGCCGTAACTCATTGCGCAGCAGTCAACAGATTCTCGAAGTATACACTCTTATTTATATACTTAGTAAGCCCTTATATATATATAAGAGTTTTCTATATATAATGGGTGGTGGTGAAATGAATGTTTCAGATTCAGCAGAGGTACAAAGCTGCGACAGGGTATTTGCCACTCATATTCGAAGGCTCGTCACCTGGAGCTGGCAAGTTTGGTTACCTCCGGATCCGACGTCGTATCGCTCTCTGATTCCCCCATTCAACCTCTCTCCTTAATTTGGTATAAACTTTTATTATTATTGTGTGTTCCCCATACGATACGTTTCTTAAATCATATATTTAGGGAGTTTATTCTGAAAAAATCATGTCGTTCTTTTCGAAATAATAGTAATGATGATGAAATGCATGTGTATACACTGCAACGTTATTTTTAAACAAATATATGATGCTAAAGAAATCAATTCTCTTCAGTTACTGAGTTGCTGTTAGGGGTGGGAACGGATCGGATATCCGGGTTTTTTAAGGTATTTGTGATTTGCTTCAAATGTTACGGATATCTAATTTTGGTATTTGCTTTGCTTCGAAAAAATGCGGATATCCGGAAAAACGGATATCCGGAAAATAAATAGATATTTGCGGATATTTACGAGTATTTATGGATATCTCATCCATTTTAATTAGTACAAATAATCTTAAGATTTTGATACAAATTTGCTTTGCAAAAATATTTTTTTGCATGATATATAAAATAAAACTTAAAAGAACTAGTGAATTTATAGATTTTGTAATTTTTTAAAGTTTAAGTTACAATTATAATAACACAAAATTTAAGAAAAAAATATAATTGTCAAAAATA